CCGGAAATTTCCGGGTAACGGAAAAATTGTCTCGGGATTTCCAGAAAATGCGCCTGATTTTCATCTCTCAAACCCGGAAAAAAACTCCCCCATCCCCGGAATTTTCCGGGAAAAATTTCTCGGAATTTTTCAGAAAATCGTTCCCAAAGCCAGAATTTTCTGAAAATTTCCGACTTTGGGAACGATTTTCCTAGAAAATTTAAATTCCGGCTATTGGAGAGTTCCGGGTTTGAGGGATTCCGGCTAAAGGAGATATTACTGTACAGTATATATATTAATGAATCGAGTCTTATTCTCAAGACACCTTGATGACATGAAATACTGTATACGTAATTGCATTTTTGACCATGATTGCACGAAGCACTCACAAATATCTCATGTTGAATGTGGGCATCATAAATTTGTTTTGGTCTAATTCACAAGTTATTACTTCACCTTACTTTTTCAGTGGTGAGCGGTCAGTATCTATAACACACTAGAATGTTCAGAACAAAGTACTGTATACTTCACAGATGAGTAATGTAAGGCATTTAAAATGTGGGAGGAATTGATTTTACTGTACAGTGCTGTACTATAAATTAAAACATCATTCTATAAGCACTGTTCCTCACTAAGTCCTTGATGCAGCTGGACCTGATATGGTCAACATGCAAAAGAATGGCTTGTTGACTGAAGTTTACACTGCAAAAGCAATAGCAATCCACAATGATTTGTGATTAAATGTATTATACAGTACATGTATATCCAAATTGTAGACTGACTGGTCTAAGACGCTCATGGAAACACTACTATGGGGGTTATGTAGGATGTATATCCTCTACACACTGTTAGTTTAATGTATACTGTACAGGCAATGTACTGTATTGGTGTGAGGGACAATCTCCCCATTCATATAATTTAGAACTTAACAAGTTGGATCAATCTCACATTTTCCTTTTGTCTAAATGCGCGAACTAACAGTCCAGCGAGTGCATTTTTACACCGGTTAAGATTTTTTTGACTTCTGGAGTATGTCAAATCCAGTTTAAACTTCATAATACTGTACTACTGAGCTTTATTCACATTATCATGAATCTCATGATACTCATAGCTATTAGTAAAGAAAAAAATTCCAATAACCAGTACAAAATCTTTTTCAATACCCTGCAAACCCCCATTTTGTTCATTATTCCCTCAGTGTGGCTCAAAATATGATGGGGAAACATGCTACAACAAAGCAATTGACTAACTCTTGGCCATTCTTATTTCAGTCAACTCTTTTTTTTTTTTTTTTTTTTTTTGCATGCTAGCTCAGGCATTCTCAATCTTCTCCCCATATTTATAGTTCTACTTGCCAGCCAGTGGTGACAAGTGAACTGTTGTGATAGGAAAAGCAGCATGCAAAATTTTCTGCATTTGTTTAATATGTTTCTTAGCAACTGTGGGTAACTTAAATATTTGAGAAGCTATGTAAGAGTATGGTCATTCCCATAAAGCAGAAATTGTTTAATTTCAATAACATAACTTTAATATTTAGTCATTTGTTCCTCAATGCATCGTCGCTTCAGAGGTTCTCACGATGTATACTGTACAGTATACTGATAAGTACAGTGGGGTATGCTATAACGAATCTAATTGGTTCTAGAACCTTGTTCGTTATAGCATTCGTTCGTTATAGGATTAATCCGTTCCAGGCCCCCAAATACAACCACTTAACACTGAAAAATATAATATAAAATTGTAAAAATTGTAAAAAAGTGCATAAATATGCATCTAAACCCCTGAAATAAAGAATATCGTTAATACTTGTAGTACAGAAACAATAAATTAGTAAAAAAGAAAAAAATTTTTTTTAATAATGTTCGTTGTAGGAGTTTCGTTCGTTATAGCATTCTCAATTTTATAGGTAAAACCGTTCGTTATAGGAATATTCGTAGTAGGATCCGTTCGTTATAGCATACCCCACTGACTCTTATCTCTCTTTGTCTTTTTCAATCATATTAAGGTAATAAAGTATTTTAAGTAGATACTGTAGATAATTCAGACGACACTGACACACTAATTATGTGACCTTATTGCGTTAGTAACAGGGCTTCAAAGGCTGCAGACTTTAGCATAATATAATTTTCTTTGAGTTTCAAAGCAGTATTGAAGTGTTTCTCACAAGGTTTTTCAGAAGCTTAATTTTGTTTGGTCTCCAAGATAGACCAAAAACTACCAATTGATTGAAAATGTCCGATGGGAGGGCCACCAAACTGGTGCTAGAACTGATGCACCTCACTTACCAAGAAAGATTAGAATGTCTTCATTTGCTTGGTTCGTACTACAGATGGACAAGGGCTAATTTATCAAATGTTAATGAGCACCTCTAACAAATGTTAGCTGAGTTAGCTGATGGCTGCCCCATTAGAAGTCACAGCCCCAGGTTATATAAGTCATCAGTACAGAAAACTGTTAAGAGCTAACTTCTTTGGAGTAAGAGTTGTGAAATCTTGGAATAACCTGTCAGAGAATATAGTGACATTACCAAGTGTAAGCTCCTTAAGACAACAATTTGATGGACACTGGAATATGTTTAGGTACATTCAAGAGTCCACAAATGTCCAGTACGTACTTGCCAACAGCATGTAAGAGAGAACAGGTCGATTGCCCAACCGGCTAGTAAGTTGACTAGTTGAGAAGAGGATAAAGTAAATTAGACTACATTTTCAGTGATGTTAGCTTAACACAAAAATAAAATACTTGTACATAAAAGAAATACTGTACACGAAACAACTAGATTCTAATATTTCGGTAATACCACACACCACAGAGGCTTCAGCCCTCCACAATGTTATGAATATCATTGTCTAATCACTTATATGCAGTGTACAGTAGTGTTCCAAAGGAGGGGGGTCAACAGACCCTGAGTATAACCCCCCTACCCTCCTCTGGCCTAGATAAGCAAACATAAGTACGTAGAGTAACAGGGTTGTGAAGACCACATACTGTACCTCTGTGTATGTGTGAATATAATCATGTAAAGGTGATTATATACATTGGTACAGGTATATAATTTGCTATATACTGTACTGTAGCTAAACTATATACCCAAGAAATACCCAGGGCAGTCTTTGTCTGAGAATATACAGGGCAGTAACAGTGACATGACCGACCGCCCAAGAGGCTAACGAGCCAATACCTGTACCAATGTATATTATCACCTTTACATGATTATATTCACACATACACAGAGGTACAGTATGTGGTGTTCACAACCCAGTTACTCTACTTATGTTTGCTTATCTAGATTTTGCCAAGGCTTTTGACAGTGTACCTCATGAAAGGCTGAAAATCAAACTGGAAGGGTACGGAATTCGGGGAAATGTCCTAGCATGGATACAAGACTTTCTACATGACTGCAAACAGTGTGTGGTGATTAATGGCACGACATTGTCATCCGTACCTGTCACAAGTGGGGTACCACAGGGCAGTGTATTGGGCCCGCTGTTGTTTGTTTGTTTCATAAATGACATGCCTGACGTTGTACACTCCTCCATACAAATGTTTGCCGATGACGCTAAGTTATTTCGGGAAACTAAGAACCAAGCAGACTGTGAAGAGCTGCAGAAGGACCTCTGTGGGCTTCAGGAATGGTTGAAGGAATGTCTGCTGAGATTCAATGTCACGAAGTGTAAGAGGATGCACCTGGGGCATACCAACGGTAAGGAGGCGTATCATATGTCCCAACGGGATGAAGAAACTGCACTAGTTGGGACTGTATGTGAGAAGGGCCTAGGTGTGTATATTGACAATGAGTTGAAGTTCTCTGGCCATTGCGAGAAGAAGGTAAACCAGTCAAATAAATTACTGGGTCTTATAAGAAGGTCGTTCAGATATCTAGACAGTACGTCCCTCGTAACGAACTTTAAGAGTGAAGTGCTTCCCCATCTGGAGTACTGTCACCCCGTCTGGTCCCCGAGATATGCTAGGGACTGTCAGTTGGTTGAAAATGTTCAAAGGAGGGCCACCAGACTGGTGCCTGTACTTCGGCACCTCAGCTACCCTGAGAGATTGGAGCGCCTGAACTTGCCTAGCTTATATTACAGACGGGCAAGGGGTGACCTAGTTGAGGTGTATAAGCATCTCAGGGGGCACTACTCAGTCGAGTGTCCTTCCTTGGAGCTGGCGGATGCTCGCCCCACAAGGGGTCACAGCTCAAGATTGAAGAAGCTGCAAGTCCAGAAAACTGTGAGGGCAAACTTTTTCGGAGTGAGGGTTGTAAACTCTTGGAACAATCTACCAGAGAGTGTTGTAACGGCAGAGTGTGATCTCTTTCAAGACAAGACTTGACCAACACTGGAGCGGGTTCAGGTACATTCAGGAGTCGGTGCATGCCCAGTATTTGCCAACAGTGCGTGACAGAGACGTGACCAATCGCCCGGGTGGCTAACGAGCTGACCTTTTGGTGAACAGGATAAATGAAAAGGAAAAGTAATCAGAGACGTGACCGATCGCCTAAGCGGGTAACGAGCCGATTAGTGGCGAAGAGGATAAAACTAAAACTAAAACTAAAGAGGATAAAAGTAAAATGAAAAAGGTTGGTTCAAGACAGGGTAAATTAAACAACCATTTTGGGGTCATTCTAATAAGCCGAGAACAGTCAGAAGTATGAAATCTGAGGGTGTGTTCCTGGATGTACTAATTATTACTTTAATATTATAAGTTTAAATTTTTCTATAAATATAATTTTGTTGTTGGAGATTACGAAGACTGGTTTATCATTAATTTGTGACAGTATGTACAGCTAACATAAATAAAAAGGTATCTCCACATTGTGAGCATTTCTGACTCAGACGTGGGACTATTGAGATGTACAGTACTGTATTGTACTGTATTCAGATTTCTTCTTTCTGTCAGTTAGCCATAACATGCATGTGTGAGGTATCAATGAGGCTTCACACAGCCTCCACACTTTGCATAACAACAAACTCAAAATGTCAACCATGAGTTCTTGCTTTCTGACACTTTGGTTTACTTACTTTTAACTTATGAACAAGATTGGGGGCAATCCCGGTCTCACTTAGACTGCTAAATTTTGATGGGCGAAGCTGAGATGGAGAGACATATGCAAGTGATAAGGTGACTGAAAATTTTATAAAATAAAAAAGGTGAAAATGATGACTACTGAATAGTCTTTATGTGAGGAAAATTATGGAGGTGATGGAATTTTGAATAAAGCAAAAGAGATAAATATTAGTAGTAAAACACACATGCTGTATTATTGGTAATACTCTACAATACAGTATACGTACTATACTGTACTGTACAGTACAGTATAGTATATGGAAATAAGAATCAAGTGTGTAATACAGTACAACAAATATGCACAATCAAATATTGCATGTGCACATAAAAGAGAGTACTGTACAGCACAGGAAGTGCAACACTGAAGAATATTAGATTATCATTTATGTACAGAAAGAATCAAAGATCTATTAGTCCAACTATTGTAAGAGCCACATAAGCTTGGGGTTGATCCCCTTGTGTTATGATGTCAAGTTACAGAGTTGTGCCAGAGTACAGATAAAGCAGGAATATAATGTATGAAGCTTAAGATCAAGAGGCATTTCCTAGCAGATCTGAGGAGGTCCATCTGTGCCCTGCAACCTTCCAGCTCAACAGGCTAAATCTATTTCCCACTAAACTTATGACTTCTTTAAGGTATTGAAACGTTACAAGACACCGTGGAACTCCCCATACCCACTATAGTTTCCCATGATTGTGTGTATCATCACATAACTTCAATTTATAAAGATATTGATAAATATTGAGCAAAAAGCAGTTGTGAAACATCTTAAGTTCCAAATATTTAAAAAGCTTTTGTATTTATTTCCTACAATAAGAGTCACCTACCTTGCCAACCAGTTGTCTGAAGAACTCTGACTGCCTCTTCATTCTTGTAGACCTTCTGATTGATTTCTTAATCTTATTAGGGACATTCTTCTTCAGTGCCTTCTGGAGGAAATTGAGGAGCAAAAACCAGTAGCCAAGAGCTAACATGATCCATACTACAATGCATAATTTGTAGAAGTCCTGGTACTGGACGTCCTCATTGTAACCTGGTTGGGGAGAGGAGAGGATGAAGGATTAAGATGGATACACAGACAGAGAGATAGTTGAATAGATATTTATTTATTCAGTAAAATCGTCATGGAAGTTTACAATTGGTTCAGCATGTATAAAGACAATGTAGACATATATATATATATATATATATATATATATATATATATATATATATATATATATATATATATATATATATATATATATATATATATATATATATATATATATATACACACACACACACACACAGTACAGGTATATCCTTTTCACTGCCAAAATAGCAGAATTGCCATTTAAATTGAGACTCAACCACCTAAATCACAAAACAAGGAATCCTCTTCGTATGAGAATACTGTACTGTACTGTACAATATTTGTCTGTTTGTTGATGAATTGTGGATTCAGAGGATCTAATGAGCTTAATAAATGCTTGTATCTAATACTGGTTTATGTTTTTACAGGTTCAAGCTTCATTTCGAGGTGAGTACACATTGTGTCAGTTTTACAGATGTAAGATATTACAGTACAGTATATAATTAGGTGCAGTTTTGAAATGCAGTGCTGTACTGTAAGCACATCAAAAGATATAAATAGTTCATGAGATTGAAAATCCACAAATACAAAATTCAATGTTAATTTGAATTAAAATACAGTATATAAATTAAGTTAATAAACATACTGGGATTATAGTATTCATCATTTTACATAGTATTTTTTTTTTTTTTTATTCCTGAACCTTGCTTTATCTGGGAGCATATTTTATTTTATATATTTTTTATTGCATGTATCTTATTAACACTGCTGACCCTTCAGTATCGGAAACCTCGCGGTGGTAACGTCAGATACAGTACTAAGATAAATCAAGGCTTGTAACTATGTTTGGTTTAATGTTACGTTAGGTTAGGTTACAATGTCCAAATGTCCAGATTTATTCAGAAGTATAACTAACACTTAAATTGTGGTTTATGGAGGAAGTGCAGTGGTTGTTTTTCAGATGGAGGTAAAGTTCATGTGTTTTAGTACAATTTAATATACCGGTATATATTATAACACCGTGTCCATCTGCTGCTATAATTTCATGCAATCTGGTGGGCATGGAATCTACCAGATTGCTGCAGATGTTCGGCCTCCTCCTTATTCCCTCCCACACATTATGTGTGTGTCTCCTCACTGCCTCACTCTTTTTCTCCTCAACATCCCATTCAACAACCATATGCGCCCATAGATTTTCTATTGGATTACATCGGCTCCTTTAGGGGGCCAGTCTAATAGAATAATCTGCGGGTGCGCCTCAAACCAACGTTTGACTGCCTGACTTGTATGTATTGGACTGCGGTCTTGCACCATACATATAGGCTGTGGGTCTGGGATGGCATATGAGTTGCTGGGAGGATGGTTAGCAGTCCTGTTGAACTGGCAGGTAGACAAAATAGAAAACTCACAGCCAAACTGTAAGAAAACCCATGGACAATGAGACATTAGTAAAATATACTAGGTCATTTTAGCGCATGCACACACATTATATACAGACCTATTGGTCCTTGCGAGGCTGTTTGGTTATGCTATGCAAACTACTTTGCTAGGGTGAGGGAAAGTGTGCACAGTATGTACAGGTATATATATATATATATATATTATATATATATATATATATATATATATATATATATATATATATATATATATATATATATATATATATATATATATATATAGTAGAAGTCCAAAAATCTGGACTGCTTGGGGATTGGGTTGGTCCGGATTTTCGGATTTTCCGGATTCTCAGGCAGTACTTTTAAAATTCAAATTTAAAGAGAAATAAAGAAGAGATGAACAGGTACATTTTGATAGTTTATTCATTAGCAAATATAGCATGCTTCATTTATCAAAACGAGCAGTTTTAAGGAAAAAGCTGTAAATTCTAGAATTTTATTCTTTGCCTCTTTTATATCATAAATTGTAGACTTTCCAATGTCTTATGTTTCCATTCGAACAGTATTGCTCACACCATGTTCTAGTTTCTTAATTATTTCAAGTTTGTCACTCAGTTTCAACGTGTTCTTCTTTCTCTTCACACAAAGAAGTTTATCTACTTTAGGAGCCATTGTTATGGGCTTGTACAGTACATGTACTCTGTAAATGAAAAGAGTAGGACTCCAAATTACATACGTTGTCACAGTTTGATTGCTCGTTTTAAAGTGGTGACCGCATATATATATATATATATATATATATATATATATATATATATATATATATATATATATATATATATATATATATATATATATATATATATATATATATATATATATATATATATATATACTGTATATATATTATTACATATATTTAAATCTCAACAAATGCAAGGATGTTGCCCCGTGAGAGTTACCGTGGGCCTCCATGTGCCCAGGTGGGTGTTCAAAGTATTACACTATAAGTGTGTCAAATGAGGAGTGACTGATCCACATGTAATTTAAGGTTTTTGAAATATTTACTTTTACTTTTATCCTCTTCGCCACTGATCGGCTTGTTAGCCGCTTGGGTGATCGGTCACGTCTCTGATTACTTTTCCTTTTCATTTATGTAGTTAAATTAAACACGGTTTTTCATATAGTTACGAGAATGAAGGGAAATAAAAGATATAGATGGGGTGTGGTGGAATCATCGTGGTCTGGCCACAAGCGCTGTAAACGTTGTGTGGATTCACTGGGTGGTTTGGAAGTGTTTATTTCCATTCATACTTTCATAACTACAACCTATGGTAATTTATCTTCGTGTTCATATATAATGAAGATAATGCAGAGTATAAAATGCCATATACAATATTTATACATAATATCATCTATACAGCCGTACTATGACTGTGTGTGTTGCCTCGTGATAGTTAGAGTGGGCCCCCGTCCAGAAAGGACACTGTACTAACCTCCAGCACCGACCCAGGTGGGCTAGAGAATATGGTTTCTGAGTGTATAATACTGTATATGAAGGTCAGTCATAATAGGAGGAAGAAAAGAATAATAACAAAGATGTCCTGAAGACAAGGAACAAGTAGAAGGTACAAAAGTGAAGCAATTGAAGATTATGAAGAAAGCTGAAGAAAAGAAAAAGATGAAGCAGAAGTTAAAGGTGGTGCAGAAAAAGTGTGATTGACTCAAGTACATCACATAACACAAACGTACCTGCAATTAGGTCTCCGAAGCCAATAGTGCTGAGAGTAATGAAGGTAAAGTAGAGGGAGTCCTCGTAGCTCCAGTCCTCCAGCTTGGACAGCACAACAGATGGCAGGAACATGAACACGATGAAGCCCACACTCAAGTACACTAAGGTGATGCCGTACAGCAGCGCCTTCTGGTGTCTTTGGTGACGCTTCTGTAAGGGTACAAGGTCTCTGAATGACTTGCTATCATACAGTACTGGCTATTGAGCGATACGGTGACTGATAGGAGTATAGAATTATCTGTAAGTGTTTGCTTCTGGGCACTGAATTATACAGTATATACAGTACAGTATAGGAATTTAAAAGTGTGGTTCTTTCAGAGTGTCATCCCACATGGATGCTTGTCATTGTCTGTTTTATATAATTTTTGACATCCTACTTAGATGCTTAGGTTAGGTTAGATTAAATCACGAAACATCAATTTGAGAATTGTCAGTGGCATGCAGTGTCTCTCAGAGTTGGAGGATAAGGAAAGAAAACGTACCTTGGCAGTGGTGTAGAGCTTGAGCATGCGGTTGGAGAGCATCTCTGAGGACTTAGCAAGGAGAATGCAGGTGAGGGGTACACCCACCATGGAATACAGCACACAGAACCTCCTGCCCACCCGTGACACAGGGCAAATGTGGCCATAACCTAGAAACAAAAACATAATTTATTCTTCACATACACTGTGTACTGTATATTGGGATCTTTTTGGTTTGATGAACTGCAATATTTTGTAATAAAAACACGTTAATCTGATGTAGTTTTAAATTTTAATTTCGGAAATATCTTCTTTTTTTCGAAATTTGGAGAAAGTACAAATATATATATATATATATATATATATATATATATATATATATATATATATATATATATATATATATATATATATATACATACATATATATATACATATATACATATATATATATATATATATATATATATATATATATATATATATATATATATATATATATATATATATATATATATATATATATATATATATATATATATGTTGATAACCACAAGAAAACACAAAGTTCCCAAGCGCTTTCATGTAATTCACATCTTCAGGGGTGAGTACAGACCTAACCAGTCTGTACTCACCCACAGTGTGAATACACAACACTGGGCTGTGTTTTCTTTCTTTCCTTGATTATCATGTTACCTAAATCACATTGATTTACTTATATATATATATATATATATATATATATATATATACATATATATATATATATATATATATATATATATGTATGTATATATATATATATATATATATATATATATTTCATTAATGACACGCAGACTTCTACATACAATCGCTTTTACTCAACCCCGCCAGATTCGAACCCCACGGCAGTTAGCGTTCCCCCGGTCACAGTCATAGGCTTGTGTGCCGTGGGACAGTCTCTGGCAGGTTGAGGCTAATGATATATGTATATATATATATATATATATATATATATATATATATATATATATATATATATATATATATATATATATATATATCGATAAAATCACACGGGAAAATGGAAACAACGGAGTACCTTAGCTTTCGTCTTTATTGAAGACATTGTAGTGGAATTCTCCCCTACAAACGCTGTTTGTCGCTGCCTAGCCGACCCCACCAATTCCCCAGTGTATGCCTCGTGGTCTAGGTCAACCAGCGCCGCCATACACCACGGAGCGGGGGTCAACTGCTAAACCACGCCTACCCCCGCTATTTAAGACCTGACCTCGTGGTGATCTGTCTCTCTCTTTCTACCAACACCAACCAGCCAGCAACACCTCCGCCTGCCTGGCGGTCCTAACACCTCCGCCTGCCTGGCGGTCCTCTCTCCCGCTGGCGAGCATGGCGACCCACAAGCTGTCCTTCTCTGAGCGTCCTCACCAACCAGCTCTCTCTACATCACGCTTGTAACCATGCTGCCTTCCCAGCACCAAGCTGCATTGTACATCCAATACAACATGTATATAGAGAGCACATTGTGAGTTTCCTTTCTCCAACCCATCTTGAGTGTGAACCAAACATCTGAACCCCACAACATCTTCAGTTGCCTCTGAAGATGTCTTGAATAAAGACGAAAGCTAAGGTACTCCGTTGTTTCCATTTTCCCGTGTGATTTTATCAAGATCCACGTTTTCATTTGGATTTATAAAATATATATATATATATATATATATATATATATATATATATATATATATATATATATATATATATATATATATATATATATATATATACATACACACACACACCTTTGGTTTGTTGCCTGATTCACCTTCTTCTCACAATGGCCTGAGAACTTAAGTTCCTTGTCGACACACACACACCCAGGTCCTTTTCACATTTGATCTCAATTAATGCAGTTCCTTCGTCCTGTTGGGATATGTGATACGTCTCCTAACCGTTGGTGCCATTTCTTCGACCATTCTTGAAGCTCATAGAGATCTTTCTGTAGCTCTTCGCAGTTTGTTTGGTTCTTAATTTCTCTAAATAATTTGGCATCGTCTACAAACATTTGTATGGAGGAGTGTATAGCTTCAGGCACATCATTTATGAAGCAAACAAACACCTATGGGCCCACTACACTGTCCTGTAGTACCCCGCTTGTCACAGGTACACATGACGATTTCGTATCATTAATCACCCCACACTGTCTGCGGTCATGCAAAAAGTCTCCAATCCACTCTAGGACATTTCCCAGAATCCCGTACCCTTCCAATTTAATTCTCAGCCTTTCATGGAGTACGCTGTCGAAAGCCTTGGCAAAATCTAGGTACAATACATATTATCGATATTTCTGCCCTGTTCTTTAAAACGATTCAGTGAGAAATGAGTGAGAAAATGAATTTACAATGACTTTGCAATAAACCTGTCATCCCAAGAAGAGGTGGTACACTTTTTTCAACCATAGAAGATTATTCCAGAAAACAGGATGCGCTGCATAAAACACCAAATGGATTTGACGTTTTTAGCTGGCAGAATAATATGGCGATGCCAAAAAAAAACCCCATGTAAGAAGGATCAAAACTCTCTAAAAACAATAATTATGCTTATATATTGTTGGTTCAAGGAGTACACAAGCATCATATTTTACGAAGATGAATTGTTCATTATGTGGTGGACTATGACAATTATTTGAGGGAGGTATGTAACCTAGATCAGAACTTATCAAGAAATTTGCCAAGGAGGGGTGGGGCAACTTTGAACTAAACATAGCGAAGTATTGTTGAAATACGAGATACAGTAATTTTCTGTACATTCATGATGAGCTTACCGTTCAATTAAAGATGATCAACTAGCTACTGCTAGTTAGTGATGCTATTATTTTTGGAATAATTTATTAGCTTAAGGGGGTGGGGCGTGATCGCACCCACCACCCCACTTCGGTACGCCTATGATGCAAGTTAGCTTAACTTAACCTATTTTTTTTTTTTACATTTTCATCCTAACGTAATGAAACCTAACCTAACTTCTCCATTTTAATAATCAGCAACTTAAGCTAATCTAATCTAGCCTATCATTTTGTAATTTCAGCAGCGTAACATTGTGTAGCGTAGCATAACCTAACATGTTTCGGTACTTTCTACTATTTTATCCAAGAAAATATATATATATTTTTGAAATCAGAACGTAAAGCTATGCCAGACTAATGTATTTTTATTTATTAAATTTGCAGTTCAAGCTGAAAAGACCCGTATGTTATGGTGATGGACGCTTCTGCACTGTGGCATCACACTGTACTGTAGTAACCAAGATTTCCAAATACATTATGAGCCAGGGAAATAACCGTTTTTTTTCTGCTGGTGAAACCCAAGTGCAACACTAACTTATTGCATTAGCATCATCTGTGTTCGGATACTTGTATACTACTTCAGTCCCTGCATACAATGAATTGATTTCGAGTAAGATAAATTTAGGCCTACTATACTTTATCCGTTTTGCCACTGATAGGCCTGTTAGCCACTTGGGCAGTCGATCACGTCTGTTACGAATTGTTAGCAAGTATTGTACTGTACACGACATGCACTGGCTCCAGAATGTATCGGTACCAGTGCTAGTGTTGATGAAGTCAGATCTTGAATAAACTCACACTTTAACTTCTAAAGGATGATGACTTAATAGTCTTGGGTACTGTTACTTAATTCCTTGACATTGATCTTACCATTTTGAACACAATTAATTATTTCTCCAGATGGCGGAGTTAGTGTACTCTAAGAAAATAATTTTGAACTTGTTAGAAACTGCGACTTAAGCTGTAACACGCAATTAAAGTTTGAAACCAGATCCTCAGTAAATTTTAAGAGGTTTTACTCACAGGTGAATAAAAAAAAAAAAAACGTATCTACTCCAATACTGTAGTTACAGTTCATAATCTTTGTAAACTCGACATCAATTTGACTCATCTTTTCACCGCCTTGAATATGAACCAGTTAGATGCAGGTTCATATCTCAAGCTAATTAAATGAATGGATGTATGAAGCTTTGAGACTGAATCTTGTGTTTGGACAGAACAAAAAATAAATAGCAGCTACCTGGGGTGAGTCGGGTGCAGGGGAAATCCCGCGGTTTCTCCACACAAAACGACTATACGGGTGAGTGTTAACATGACGTAAATAATTCATTCATTTATATGTAATTATTATTTTATGATATAGATTATAAACAGACGCGAAACATTTATTAATATTAATGTATATCATAGTGTAAGTATCTTTTAACAGCTTTTTTATTTTTAACCTTGACCTTAATTACCTAATGGCTACCCAATGGAGGGAAGGTCAGTGGCCTGTGTAGAATCCTTCCATTGTTCTTGATAATTTTGTCGAGAGCTATTTTGAAGCCCAATACTGTGTGAACAAGTATTTCCTTATACTGTATTCGTTCTGTTCGATAGCTTGGTGAGCTTGTAGCTATGCTCCCTCGTGAGGGTGGTGGGTGACCTCACAAAGAAATGTCCCGGTTTACGTTTTCCATCCCTTTCAGGAATTTGAATGTTTAAATTAGATCTCTCCCTAGTGTGCCTTGTCTGAAGGGCTGTCGGGATGACATAGTTCCGGAATCATCTTAGTCCCTTGAGTTACACCTTTTTTACCGATGTTAGATCTTTCTGGAACTAGGGTTTCTATGATTTTACAGTATACAGTAATCCAGACTGGGACATGTACTTAAAATTTGTATAGTTGAAAGAGTATTTTCATATTTTTGTATTCGAAGATACGCTTTATAATTCCCCAAATCTCGATATGTTTTTCTCACTGGTGGGTCCAGTTGTTACGCCCACCCTTTAAGTGAATCATCTACCACAACGTCTGGATCGTTCTCGACAGTATCCAGTAAAGTGCTATTAACAGAACAGTTGTGGTTAGGGTTGTATCCTTCGTGTACGGTCTTGCATTTCGTAATGTTAAAGAGCATTTGCTAGTCGCGAGACCATTTGAACAGCTCCTGCAGGTCTTTCTATGAAGTGTTGCATTGATTCGTCTGTCTGACTCCTCCCAGTTAATTCTCTGTAGTTTGTCTCTCATGAGCCGGCGGCAATCTCCATGGTTGAAGTATTCCTCCTCAACTACCTTCTCTCGACTACCAGTATGTAGTGGTCGCTGGTTGGAGTTAGTGTCTCCTCGACCTGGACCTCTTCCACCATAGCCTCTCCAGTGAAGACTAAATCTAGAATGCTGTCTCTCCTCGTGGGTTCCGACACGTGTTGTTTGTGTGAGGAATGAGTCATGTATAAGATCAAGGAATTATCTCCCTCGGCTTGTGTGTTAAGATTCATCCAGTCTATTGTCTCATGATTAAAGTCTCCCATGATGAGGTCTTGTGCTATGGATGATGTCTGGATGACTGTGGAGATCTGCTACTTCCTCCCCCAAGGCTGAATCAGCCCTATAGCACACACACCTACTGTTAACTTGCTTGTGTTTTGAACTGTCACTTCACACCAAATAGACCCGGATGATCCCATTTAGTTTAGCTCGTCATTGTGAGGTGCTCCTTGACAGTACACCACCGAGGCTGATCATCTGGTACATAATACTCACAATGAGACACACCTCCAGGACTCACTAATACCAATCACGTCTGGTTGGCCCGGGTCTCTATGCTGTCCTCTTTGAAGACTGTCATACTAGAGCAGTTGTTCTCTCTGGGTTAAATATGGGTTATCCTTAGTTGCATCGGCTCAATGTGTGCTGTTGTTTGTATACCTGTTGTGTCATGTTGAACCAAGCTGAACATCCATGGTGATTTTACTGAATATCTATCTATCTATCTATCTGTTATAAACCAACGAACGAACTTGATGGCTTGCTTACTTGTTTACTTATTCAATGTGTTGTATTATTTACAAGTGTGACCTTAGTGAACTGGTGACTTATGCATTGTAGTACGTTTAATATTTTGTAATTTTCAACATGGAGGGAGTTTTTCAAAGTGTGTGTGTGTGTGTACGTACGCGGACCCTACGTATAGTGTCTGCGCGTGCGTATTTAGGGTCTGTGATTGATAGATATCTATATAGAATAACAGATATATAGATAGATAGACCGATAAAAGTTATATTGATAGATAGATAGATAGATAGATAGATAGATAGATAGAATCACTCACCTATGGTAGTCACAACGGTCATGGTGAAGTAGATAGCGTCGACAAATGTCCACGTGTGAGTCTCAGTGACTTCGGCGATTATCCTGAGGCTCTCCTGGCATTCCTCTTCCACCCGCGCCTGCCAGTCATCGCCCATTCCTGCCCTCTGCTGTCCAAAAGGGGGAGAATGGGTTAGTCTTGTACAATAATCCCCCCCTCCCCTCCCTTCCATCCTCGAGGTCTGTTCCCTCTCCCCCCTCCCCCTTTCCTCTCTCATCTATCCTCTCGTTTTATCCAATTTTTCTTTCACTCTCCCATCCTGGCAATGGGAGAAAGGGAGGGGGGGGGGGTTGCCTAATCTACATCACTACGTGAGATCGACAAAATGTTTTCTCGTGATTAATAAAGTACAACATGTTTTTGAAGTAGTGTATAATCGGACTGCATCATAGGGTATAACAGGTTTAAATATACAGGCTGAAATGTTACAAGTGAATGTTTTTAAAATCTATTAAAATTACGACACGGGAATATAATGTAATAATGTATTTTAATGTCTATAAGGTATATTTTTTGTTAATGGGGATACTGTATAAAGATGAGTTGTCTAAAATTTTATAAATTAAGGATATGACGTCAGATATTCTACTTTACAGTAAATTGTAGAACATGTGTTTTACAGATACGATGGGAAGGTGAAGTGCCATAATTATACAGTGCTGTAATATGATACATGCAGCGAGTGTAAATTTTGTAAAAAGAAAAAAATACGATGACTGCCAGACGTTGCTTTGATAATTTGCACTCTAAATTTTGTTTTTATTAGCTGTATAAACAAGACTTACCTGTGCTTATTATGAAAAACTCGATCTCTTAACTAATATATTGTGTTGGCTACAGTGGTATGCATTTTTCACGGACCGGCGCGCGGCGGTGGCAGGTAACAAGCGTGTCTGACAGTATGGGGTTCATTCCCCTGCCCAAGACAGATTTGAGAGTGTTATTCAATGTGGCACTACCAAATATGGCAGGTTTCCTCCGAGTGTTCCGGTTTCCTCCTGTACTAACACTGGACAGTAAAGGTCATAACAAAATAATAAAGAACAAACCAACAGCTGATAAGTGATGAAGTGATAAAAAATTATTTTACTGTATGGTGAATTAAGTTTATGAACACATCTCTAATCTAGCCTAACCTAACCTTTCGGGAATTCTGTTATAGGTATACAGAAGTATACAAAAAACAAAACACATTATTGTAGATATGAGATATCCAGTGCCCTACCATGTGTGTGTGTACAAACGATGATGTGTATGTCTGTACATAGAAACCTTAGTATGTCTATTCTGTTATTTTTTTGTTTGTATACCTACATTTTTTCGTCTACATGTCTGTCTTTTCAGCCTTTTTGTCTTTTACAGCTTTTGTTTTTGTTGTATGTCTGTGTCTGTCTTCCCGTTTTCCTAACTTACCTGAAAAGCAGTCGACAACGGAGAAAGTGTGGAAGTAGTGTCGTGCTCTTCGGGCTCTGTGCCGTTAGCCAGCAGACCAAACGCTAAACAAAACAAATAAAATAAACAAACTCAAAATAAAAGAACATAAAAAGCGACAACAAAAGTACAACATAAAAATACTGTACTAGGAAAAAAGAGGTAAAATTATCTAAAAACAAAATTATTTCTGCGTTAAACCATATCTAAGTCATGCCACAAAAGATTTATCTCTATAGAAAATGATGTGCTGTTTAAACAACAAAAACACAAAAATAATAAACACTGAAGAATAAATTGCAAGAAAGTTAAAATAACTTGCTAAAAACTATAACAAAAATATAAAAAATTACAAGTACAGTGCAAGTTACAGCAAATAAAAGCATGGCATAAAACTATAGCCACAAACTACTATAAATTACAATAGAAATAATAAAAAATCACTACGTTATAGAGACAAGATAAAGGGATGAACCTCGCAGAGCAACCCAACAGTAATTACCAGCATATATTACTTATAACCCAAGGGATGAATGTTTTCTCTTATTGGTAAATTTATGGGCGAATGCTGTGAATTTTTAGGTATTTTTTGTGAGGAAACTATACGCGTATAATTATTTATACATTATCAATAATAATAAAAAATATCAATGATAATTATTAACGTTGAAGGGAGCATGTGAAGAATCTCCACTTTAGCTTATTTCTCCTAAAGATTAATTACCCTAATGCTATGGGGGGCGGGGGGGGGGGGTGGTTAATCTTTATGTAAAATAAGCTGGGGTAGAAATTCCTCAGGTGATCCATTTTAAATATATTTCTTCGTTTCGTTTGGATATATAGATATAGCTACTAATGAAATAATATATGTACTTTAGCTGTAAATACAACTGAGGCAATATTTTGCAAAAAGAATACAAAAAAGTTGACTTGCTCTTCGGAGGAGCTTACTATTAGGCTCCTCGTATAAACTACAAACATGAACGATAATAATCTACAATTTGCTTAACTACTGAGAAGCAGAAATAAAAAACAAACACTCATGACGTGTGACGAAGGACGAGTGAGTATCTTAAGTATCTTACTGTGGTTTAAGATAGGGTGAGGACACAGGTCAAGCAGGTGACTCTTCAACACTTGCAGCTCCTCCACCACCTCGCCCGCCGCCACCAACTCTGATGAGGGAGAAAATTTATTACAATGGAGACTTAAATTGGTGGAACCAAAATCTGAAAAACGTATACAACGACCTGTGAGGAAGGCGGAATAGACCAGTATTAAAATTGGAAACAAAAAAACTCGAGCTCTGAAAATGTATACAGCGATTTATTCACAGGAATTTGCATGGTTATACTGATAGTTGGCTGAGTCGACAATGAAAATGGATTGAGAACAGTTTAAGCCAATGATATGACTTTAAACTGCGGACTGGTGCGTCAATGGTCATAACAAATGGATAGCCTACTCAGAACCCCACAAAGAATTCTGAGCGAAAATAAGTAAATGTACGAATTATCCCATTTAACGTAAACCATAACTTTGTATTCGTAAAATATGTTTTGTTCTCGTGTTTTTTTAATTTATTAATGAGATTTTGGTTTACTATGATTCTGAATTCAATGGTGATATATTACAATTAATTATGGCTTTGTTGAAGATGTTTTTAACTGTTTTGATTGTAATCCGTTAAAGAAAGGTCCTCCGCTGTGCTCAAAGAGAGAGAGAGAGAGAGATCTAACATTTAATTGTTGATGACTAGCATGTGTACTAATCAGGAACTCGCTCTTAAAAACATTTAGTTATTAAATCTCAGCATTACATTATTATAACAACATTACAGTATAGTGTTGGTGTGAATTATAAACAAACTAAGTGATGCAGAAAGCACGGGAACGGAGAGAGAGGCCAAGTGACAAAAGCAGAGCGTGTTGCAGATATACTCGGGCTGCCCCAGGCTAAATGTTCACTTCCTCCACTCTCACCAGCCCACACCAATAACGCTTCACACACATTCGTAGATTTTCCTAAAAGTTTCATCTCCGGATATTCTTGTCAAGGGCATATTATGCCAGCCCATCCTTATTACCAACCCACCCACTTTGTAAAAAAAAAAAAAGGTAAATAAAATGAAAGAAACAAAAAGTACATACAACTTTTGTATCATAAAAATAACTAAATAAATAAATAAATAAAAGTCGGGACGATGCGTAAAAACATTATTACTGTAATTACCAAAATAAAATACACAGAAACATAAGAAAATTGAATCACTTCTGAATAAACACAAATAAATACCACTAGATAATTGTAATGTTTAGGAAAATTTCTTAACTTAATCTTACATCATGAACATCTTACTCTTCAACGATGTAAAAAAAAAATCCTCGTGTTATTTGTTGCTTGTTAAATTGTTATTATGAACTTCATTGTCCAGTGTCATTCATGTGTGGTTGTTTGGTGATGAAAAGAAAATTACGCTTCACTCTTTGACATTGAGAGGAGGGGGGGGGGTCAGTTATGGGAACATCCTCACGTAGACACTGAGGTGGATTAGTGTTGGCTGCCTGGATGAGTGGTGATGGGGTATGTGTGTGTGTGGGGCGGGGGGTGGGGGGGGGAGTTGGCGGAGGATCATGACAATGCCAGTTGGATCTGGTACAGCAGTTGGTCAATACTGGTAAAGATGTTGCACGTGTTTGGAGTTATAAGTTGTAATAAGGTCCTGCACACACACAAAACAACAACATCCATGCAATATACACACAACTCCCCCAATTTACAACATCCGTTCTTACCCTCAGCCTGTACTAAGTTTTGCCAATTTTCATAATTTAACTTTGGGGGAAAAAATCTGAAAGCTTAAAAGTGCCACAGTTGTTAGGAGACTTTCGCTCAGTCATATGACGTCATAGCTACCGATGTATTCATTGGTTGCTTCACATGACGTCATAGCTAGGGATACAGTCATTGGCTGCTTCACATGATGTCATAGCTACGTATGCACACATTGGTTGCCTCACATGACGTTATAGCTACAGATGTAGTCATTGGCTGCCTCATATGACGTCATATTACAGATGCACTCATTGGGTATCTCATATGACGTCATAGATAGTAATACACATACTGACTGGCCGGCAGGGCTGTCGGAATTTCCGACTCTTGTTTATCGAACACGCTGATTGGTTCAAATCCGGTACTTCGTCTGTTAATCGGTAAATTGATGACGTAGGCGGTAAGCCGCGACGTCACTACTCCGACTCGGTAAATTACCGACTTTAGGAAATATGCTGTTTCATGGCAAAAATACCTTATAGAATACACAGAAATAAATAGTAGATGTATTTAATTACCTTACCTACATTTTACTAGCGATATTTTAGCAGAATTATATTCTGCTGAGTCACACACGAAGCGATATCGGTACAATGTTACAATGTGTAAAATAGGGTCATGTATATATTTCTTGTGCTTAGTTTTGCTTCTAAATGTTTATATATATATATATATATATATATATATATATATATATATATATATATATATATATATATATATATATATATATATGTATGTATTTTTTTATGTATTGCCAAAATAAAATTGTTGGAATGTTTTGGTTATTTTTGTATTAAGTATTATCGAAAAGTAATACAAATTGCAATTGATAAAATACAAATCTAATGTGATCTCATATAACACTCTGAATGGTGTATAATACAGTGTTTATTATTCAGAAATTTATAAAACTAATGACAGGAACAATGACATTCACTGAGTATGAGGACTACTCTACTGTGTCTGGGGTCTTCGTTGCCCCTCACCACACATTACTGTATCTGGGGTCTTCGTTGCCCCTCACCACACATTACTGTATCTGGGGTCTTCGTTGCCCCTCACCACACATTACTGTATCTGGGGTCTTCGTATGCCCCTCACCACACACTGTATCTGTCTTCGTTGCCCCTCACCACACATTACTGTATCTGGGGTCTTCGTTGCCCCTCACCACACATTACTGTATCTGGGGTCTTCGTTGCCCCTCACCACACATTACTGTATCTGGGGTCTTCGTTGCCCCTCACCACACATTACTGTATCTGGGATCTTCGTTACCCCTCACCACACATTATATTATAGAAAATAGTAATATTACGTCATGTTCTCGCAACCAATCACAACGGGAGCAGTTGAACCAATCAGCGTGTTCGGTAAACAAGAGTCGGAAATCCCGTCAGCCCTGCTGGCCGGTCCCCATGACATCACAGCTAAAGTTGCTGCGAGGAGTAGAGGCTGATAGAACACATAGTAACATGCTCAGTATAGATTCCGATTTCACATTTGAATTTTAAAACATTATTAAGAAAGTATATATTGGATTCTCATATTAGTATATCGTGTGGATAATAAGACACCAAAAAAAGAGGTTTGACTACTTTAAATTATGACTCGTTGTTTGGAAAGTAATGGTTCGGCGGGGGGGTCGTAGTTGTTTTAGACCTGACTGGCCGACACCTGGGCGCTGGGGGCACAATACGTCACCGTGGCACTAATTGAGGTTCTGGAAGGTTCCATCATACGCTGTTACTGTGCATGATGTGGCACTGGTCCTGATACTTCGTGAACTAAGAGACAGGGGTATAATGTGACACAGCCAGGCGTCTCTATCTATCTATCGGTTAACAGGAACACCTTTGAGTCAGCCAATCAGGTGACAAACATAACTCAAACACCTATAAGACTCCGACCTCTTTGATTGGTTACAATGGAGGTGTAATAATTAGGTGGTGCCAATTACAGGTGAGCGGGGCACTTTACTTATTCCCTGAAGGGTAGAGGGTTTTTTTGGTCTGTTGAGTGATGTTTAGTGCCGCAGGTTTTGTGTGTGGTGGTCTGTTGAGTGGTGTTTGGTGCCGCAGGTTTTGTATAGTATACGTAATGATAATACTATAGCGAAGATGTACGATAACAGGTAAACACGGTACGAGCTTATATACAGGTCATGTACGATAAGAGGTAAACAACAATAAAAGGGTTCTATCCAAGAGGTCATTAACAGATACGTTAATTAAGACGTATAACAACAGGTAATTAACGGTGAAAATTTAATATATACAGGTAATCATTGGCAAAGGTTAAAAATAAATAAAAAAGTAAAAAAAATACAAGAAATATCAAAGGTGGAAGCTGTAGTTATCGTGTGTATTTATAATCAAGATATCAACGACATGACATGGAGATAACACGTGTGATTTTACCATTGTGTTATTTACGGTTCGTTCAAATCGCCCAACTATGCGGGGTGTTGTTACTGAAGCCATCAATAACTTCAACCATTAAATCATCGCCTTGTTGTTGTTTTTTTAAGTCAGTGAACAAATGACCCAAGTGAGTTTTTCTCTTTAGTGATGGAAATGAAAGCAAGGATACGTATCTTTTGCTTGAATGAAGGAATAGAGAGAGAATGAAGACAGAAATAAGAGTTAAACTTTGAAAGAAATAAGAGTTAAATTTTGAAAGAAATAAGAGTTAAACTTTGAAAGAAATAAGGAAAAGAAAGAACAGAGAAGAACAGCAAAATAAATACACTTCAATCTTTGGTAGTAAGAAAGACGAACGAGAGAGAGACGAAAAAATAACACCCCCATCGTATCTCACTTACATAACCTTGATTAATACCCGAACCAAAACACAACCTTGAGCGAGTGGGATGAGAAGGCGGTGGTGGTGGTGGTGGTGATGGTGGTGTTTTAGGTGATGCTGGCTGGCACCTGACCTGCATGGCCACCTAGGTGATTGGCCCCAGGGCGAGGAACCTCCTTCTTCAGGTCTTAACAACCACTTATCTTCTTCATAACTTAACAGCTACATGGCAGCCCAAACAAGGGGATGATGGTTATGGTTTTTCTTGTATACAACCCTGAAATACTTAGATTTTGGGGTCGAGGTTTCTCTTTTATGCAATCCTGAGATATTGAGTTTTTCGGCCTAGGGTTCTATTTTATGCAACGCCGAAATATTGAGGTTCTTGGCGAAGGTCCTTCACTGATCGACCCTGAAATATTGGCCATAAATCTCCAGTACGTTAGGTTAGGTTAGCGTGGTTAATCTCTAGGTTAAATAAATTGGGTTTGGTTAGGTTAGCATTAGAGTAAGTTAATCATCAGGTGAAATA